CCCACTTTAGGTGAGCTCACAACTCATTCAAGGCAGGCTCTCACCTTGTCTCTGTGCAGGAAACAATAGTTTGTTGCCAAGAAGAGTAACAGTTTACTTCGCTTTCATTACCATCGTTTGCAGTCACGATCCCAACGTCAAACTGACTATCCCACGGATAACATTTACTGTAGCAGTCAGTCGCATTTCGGCCGATCGATTATGGTCCCATTCTCGCCGATGGTGAATATTGATGGATTAGCCAATGACTACACGGGTTAGTGCGAGGTGCTCTAACATATTTCATTTCATCGAAGCTGATTAGCCTAAGAATACCATTTATTCATTTGCTTTTGCAGACAACCTCTACACATACGCCCCCAGGCCGAGTTGCTCCAGTTTCAACAGGGATTGTGGATCAAGGTGGGTGTAGCGACGTTTCTGTAATATTCACTGAATGTAGTCTGGAGACGGGCAAGAGAATCGTAATTTGCCGCTCCGCCGCGCGCGGCGATGGGCGCGGCGTTTTCTTAACTCGTGTTAACCTGTCGACTGGAGCACCGGACTTCATGTAGACCCCGTCATCGTAGACATTCATGACTATTTTCGGTTCTGAATTGCCTGTTGTCGCCATCTACTACCTGGAACCATCGTCATTTGCGGGCGCGACGTCGCACGCGACGCCCACAGCGCGGCGAATTACGATTCTCTTGTCACATACCCAATGTTGTCTGCCGCGTAAAAGAGCTAAATGCTCCAAATCGGCAACCTTTGCCCTCGCTGCTATCAAGCCTGCTTACATCGAATAACCCAAAAATGGGGAGGGCGTGGCTGCGTACTTTATTCGAAAACGGCGTAGTATGCTCCCTTCGTGAGGAGTGTCCTTCTGAGATAACTGTCATCCTGTCCTGTGCTGGACAAAGGCGTGATTCCAGCTGAACCAGAGCGGCAGTATCCCACCAGCAGCGCACGTTTAAGTGATGTACAGTTCTGCTAAGGCCTGTCTAAGGCTGGAGGGGTGGGGGAAGGGTGGGTTCGGCGCAATGCAAGCAGGCTTTCCACCAGTGGTTGACGCTTTCCCTCTTCAACAAGGTGAACAGACTGGCGCCGCGCCAAACCCAGCTCCTTGACATATCCTGGTATCCACGGCGAACACGACTTATACGCAGCCGTCCTTGCCATCTTCGGGATGTGGGTGTACTCCCCTAAACAGGCGCACTATCAATATTCCACGATGGACTGTACATCCACTGATCATACCCAGATAAATGCAGTCGTTCTCGCTGCAGCTGAGGCTACCAGGGAGCTGGATTGGCGTGGCGCTAGCTCGTTCTCCATCAATTGTTGGAGCGGGGAAGCGACAGCAATTGGTGGAAAACGGCTGGCGCAGCGCCCAAACTCAGCACCACGACACGTCCCAGCTTCTGCCTCCAAAACAACCGTAACGGCCGTAGGGGGATGTTTATAAGAAATATAATAGTACCTATCATGGAAGACCAACCTCATACCTCTAAAATCTTTTAGAATAAATTCTGCAGATAATCCTGAGAGTATTCCAGTCAGAATTCGCTACCTACAGTTAATTTGCAGGAATAACACTGGGCAATGATTGAGGTGGTGCAGGAATTACGGTAGAAGGAGCGTTTCATAGGGCACTCGCAGAGCTGGGCCATTGTCGCGTGCTATTCATTGGTGCGCCTGTTCTTATTACCGTCTTGAAGAGGAGGGACGCACCAATGGGGAGAAGCGCAATAGTGCGCCCAATCCCTCGAACGAGGTAGGCACGGCCATTGGGTGTATTTTCTCTAGGCATTGGGGTCTAGCAACAACCCCCTCCCCAACAGAACCTCTTCCAACTCTCATCTAATTTTGTCCTTCAGGTACCTCTTCTGCCACGGTACCCAATTTGTATGCGTATCAAGAATAAGAGCTCCGTTCGCATGTAATCCAAGTCGATTTGGAGGTGAGTTTGAAAGTTGTTACCAAAAAAATATCTGAATCAAGTCACAAAATATTAAACATTACTCCAGAAAAAAAGCCTAATCAACGTTTTTTAGCATGAGGGACTCATTGACAAGAATGGTAATTTTCCAGTATACCCAGCAAGTTTGGGATAGCAAAAATTTTAGATGTTCCTACATTCACGATGTTACAGTGGCACCTATTCAGTACTTTGGTTTTGGGGTTACTCAACAAT